GCCGCCGCCGCCGCTCCCTCCCTCCCGGTACCTCTCCGGGATCTGCAAGCGCCGTCGGGGTGAGAACCGTCCCCGCGCTTTTGCTTCCCCGCCAAGAGCGGTTGTGCCAATCCCGGTCTCGGCCGAGGACTTCAGAGGCTGAATTGCTGCTGAGCAGATTAAAGTTGTAGCTGTGCATGCACAGGGGTGTGTTTTATGTGTGTGGAGGGGGGAGGGGCAGGAGGAGGAGCCTTAGAGCTGAATTCGAAGCAGGGCTTTAAGAAGATCAGAGGAACGCAAAATAATGGTAATGGGGCGAGGGTGGTCGTGCGCGTGTCGGAGTCCCTAAGTCTCACTAGGGATCCCGTCCAGCAATGCGGTGGATAGTATTAGAGTAGACCTCATGGTTTCAAGCATTCCGTGGTCCTGGAGAATGAGCTCCATTTGGGTTCAGGGAAGAATTGCCTGTTTTTAAAACTAAAAATTAAAACAAAAAGCGAGTATGTGAAACTTTTTGCCGAAGCGACGGCGCTTATTCAGCCCGGTGTTCCAGTAAGAATTTGGTTTTTAAATTAATTCTGTTCCTATAAATGTTATGTTTTTAAAAAGACATAAACGCTTGCAGGGCGGAGAAGTGTAAGGCGCTGATGTTACTGAAAGCGTTCTCCAAGTATGTCATTTGTACCAGCTGAACCGGTTTAAATTAATCTTTGTACACAACTCAGAATTAAGTGTTTGAATTATGTATAATGCGGTGCATTTAGAGACACAAAAGTAATGCTCTTGAACAGACAGCCAAGAATGTAACATGCGATTAACTCCACTGTTAACTGCTATCTACAAGCTTGTGTCATTGGGCTTTGATATACGATGGTAAATAAAATGGAGAGTACTTCAACTGAGTCAAAATTATAAATAGCCTTTAGTGGGTTTTTCAGTATTAAATTGGAATACTTCTCCAGTTACTCATTCTCTGCATTAGTAAAAAGACTTCAAATAATAATGGTGACCTTGCTATTGTCAGAGTTACATGACCTTTGTGTTAATTATATAGCTCTATAAAAAGGCTTAATATTTATAAAATTTCATATCTCTGGTTGTCACTGTTTATTTTGTACTGTTATTTAACTTATGTGTAAATAGATTCTAGTCTCTAGATTAAAACAAGAATATGCTGCTATTTGCTGAGTCACCCTAGGGCCTCTCCCCACCTGTCGGTAACCACAGCACAGTCATGTTCTGGCAACCTCTAAAGTCATCCTTAGCTATACAGTACCAGCATTAAAATAGTATTTTCCCCATTCTGACACCAACCAGAGGTAGCCTCAGGGTAAAAACCTGTTAGGCATTTCACCCATTACCTTGAAGGGAAGTCAGGAAATTGGCTGGGAACAAAGGCAATAAAAGCAAGATAAGGATTACAGTAATAGAGTAGATTTCATGCCTAACAAATTGTATGCTGAGTCAAGGAATTTGTAAATAGCACTGTAAGGCCATAAGGCATTTCACCTTCCATTAGAGCAGAAGTGAGGTTGAAACCTCAAGATGTTGCTGAACTATAGTTTCCAATGCCCCAAACCATATGCCCAATAGTAAAGGATGCTGGGAGTTGTAGTTCAACTAGATCTGGAGAGCCATAGATTACTTATCCATACATTTGAGTTTTAGAAAACACATATCTAGTGTTAGCTTTATCATGCAGACAAGCCAGATCTTGGTATTCGCCAGTTTGGGAGCTCCGTCTTCTTCACTTCCAACATGGCTCACTATAGTTCAGACATCAATTCATAACAGAAGAAATCATATTCAGAAACAGAATTGTTCCATACCCTCATGCATTCCCCTGTTTTCTCTTTTCCTATTGTCTTTATGCAAATTTATTCATGCAAGTCTATATTAATACTTAAATTAATGCAAAACTCTCATGTTTCTTACAATTTGCAGCGAGGTCTGAAGTGGCACTTTGGAGTTTGGAACTAGCACTTCAAACCATTGTTTAATTCAAATGGTGTATATTCATTATGTAATAACCACTATTTAGGACAGACAGACAGACAGACGGCTAGCAGAATGCATCCATGAACACCAACTAGCAGTCAGAAGACATGATGAAAACTCCTTAATCTCACAAGTATTGTGGGCAGACTTAACCATAGTTTCTACTGGGAACTGTCAGCATCTTAGACCAAGCTAAATCCAAAAATGT